AGTAGTGAATTTGATATAATAAAAACTCAAGAATAGGATTAGAGTTGTTTGAAAATTTCCAAATCCATTTTGTTTTTTTGTTTACAAATGATAGTGTTCGTGAGTTAAATTGTTAAATGTTAGCAGGAGGAGGATCATTTAGGGTTGAACTTGCATTGGGGTGCATAGCAATCATGTTTATGCATCTTAGTGCAAGTTCAATCTCCACGGCTATCTAAGCCACTAATGCTATCGTTGTTGTAATATCCACCCCCATTTATAAAGATATATTTGTGTAATTATCCCCTAAACAATCTGAATATAGCAATTTGGTCCTTTTTGACTACCAATCAGAATCTGAAAACATTGGATTCTTTCTTTCTCAAGCTGCCACGTGGCAGCACCCCCTTCACTCCCCTCACTTCTCTCTCTGTCCCCCCCCTCATGAACCCCTTCCTTCTTCTTCTTCTTTTCTGTCTGTCCCGTCTCTCTCCTTCTCGACTCTCTCTCATCTCTCTTCTATCCCTCTCTTCAATAAATCGCACACAATCCCACACACTGAGACGCACACATACGCGAGGAAGAATCATGTCCTCCTCTCTCCCTCTTTCTCGTGTCTGCAAACCCAGAAAACCGGAAAGGAACTCCGACGAGATTTTTATATTTTCCAGTTAGGTAAGCCTCAAATCCCTCTATTTCATCCTTGAATCTGGTGAGATTGGGTTTTAATTAGTTGTATCTCGTGTTTTTCCAAGGTTTTTGGGACGAATCGAACTCAAGTGTAGGAACACCCATTTCCGACGAACCGTGGGTGTCGAGGGACTTTCCGGCCATCTCCGGCCGTTCCACAACGACATGAAGGTATAGAAATACTCCCCTTGTCTTGCTCTTCGTTTTGGTACCTAGATCGAGGTCTAGGGTTGTTTGTGGTGATCGGCCGGAGCTGTAGAAGCTCCGATGTTCTCTGTGCACCAGGCCGTGCAGGCCGGTTCCAAGGAAAATGGGCCTTAGGCCCGTGTGGTGAGGCTAGCCCCAAAACCCTAGCCCAGTTGTTTTAATTGTTTTAGAACCTAAAGGCCTTCGGGCCATTATGTTTAGGGCCCGTAGCCACTAGTCCAACCCAAAACCTTTTTAAGGTTTTATTTAGTTTCTGTTATAGAAATAAGGCCTTGGGCCATTTTCTATTTAGGGCATTAGGCCCGTGTGTGTATAGAACCAAGCAGATTAGGCCTTGGGCCAATCTGAGTTGGGCTTTCAGCCATTTCCCAAAATCCATTAACCTTTAATTCAACCCAAAACCCTTAAAGCCCATTCGGCCCAACCCAACCCAATCCAAGCCCAGTCTGACTTTGACCTTTGACCAGTTGACTTTGATTGTTGACTCGATCAACGGTCAACGTTGACTCGGTCAATTATCAGAGTTGACTTTGACGTTGACTTTGACTTTATAGTATAGATGATGGATGACTTTATACTATGAAATTGTTTTTCAATATATATGTGTTCAATGATTTTGTACTTACCTAGTGGTCCTTTCCGTTACGGGACGTAGGGATAGATTTCGGTCCGTCCCGGGCGACGATTTGGTGTTGGCATAGGGCCTGGAGGGTGTTTCCTCTGGCATTTAAGACCAGGGACATGGAGTCGGCAAAGGGCCTGTAATGTATTTTCCTCTGACTGTCTGCTCAGAGACGGGGAGCCGCATGAGGCCTGGAGGTTATCGGACAATTCACTAGTGATTATTATATATACAAGTTATGATTTGAGATACTGCATATCATGCTAGGTTTCAGAAAACCTATGTTTTTCATTATATATGTGTTTTCATAAAACCTGGGGGTTAGTATGTTGATAAATGTTTTATTATATTTATATCAATTAGTCCACTCATGTTTGTTTTGCGCCCCCTTCAAGACCTACGAACGAGGTTTACAATTTAAACTACGAGGCTTTCCCCTACCAGTGATCCAATGTTATATTTCCTCTGCTTCGACATCTATTGTAATATAGCACATCTCTATCTTGAATTCTGTTTGTACTTTGTAATAGACGTATGCTCTTAACTGATGTTATGATCCTAATTTTATTAATTAGAAGTTGAATTTTTGTGTTGCTAGTCCCTGCTACCTGTTTTAGCTTATTTCTGAGCTTTTACATAAATTAAATGGCTTTCGTCACCCTTTGGGTGTCGGCCAGCATGTAACCATCCCGATGTCCCGAGGACATCGGGATCGGGGCGTGTCAGTACCAAGATATTGCTTCAATAAATCAATTCTCAGTACCAAGGCCGCGCATGACGACTCGATCACAGTCTGGAATACAAAAACCTAATCCTAAATATGCTATGCATGTCTCTACTGATCTTTCTTTAGTTAAACCAACCTGTTTTAGTCAGGCAATCAAGCACCACCAATGGAGGGAAGCCATGGTTCAAGAATTTAATGCACTGCAGCGATGTGGCACGTGGGAGCTTGTTCCTTATCATTCATAAATGAATGTGCTGCCAAACAAATGGGTATTTAAGATCAAAAGACGGGCGGATGGCTCTGTAGAGAGGCACAAGGCGAGGTTATTCGTAAATGGGTTTCATCAACAGCCTGGGATTGATTACACCGAGACCTTTAGTCCTATGGTCAAGCACAGCACCATACGACTTGTTCTTAGTTTGGCAATTTCAAAAAAATGGCATATGAGGCAATTAGATGTACAAAATGCTTTCTTGCATGGCTTTCTGAAGGAGGAAGTATATATGCGACAACCTGCAGGTTTCATTGATGAGCAGCATCTAAAACATGTCTGCAAATTGCAAAGGAGTATATACAAATTGAAACAAGCTCCGAGAGCTTGGTTTCAATGTTTTTCAGAGTTTTTGCTTCAATTAGGGTTTCAAGCATCCACTTGTGATTACAGTTTATTTGTTTTCAATCACTTTGGTGTCTACTTGATTTTATTGATCTATGTAGATGATATATTGTTGACAGGGAATAGTCCTCGCCACATGTCTCGCTTAATCCATAAACTGGGAACTTTGTTTTCAATGAAAGACTTGGGGCCTCTTCATTACTTTCTGGGTGTCGAAGTAACCTATTGTGGTGATCAAAAGCATTTGAATTAGGCCAAGTATGTTGTGGACTTGTTTAAGCGTACAAAGTTTTTGGATGCTAAACCAATTTCCACTCCAGTTTCTTGCGAACAGAAACTTAGTGCTTACAACGGTGAGCCACATGACGATTCTGAGATGTATCGAAGTGTTGTCGAAGCACTTTAGTATTTAACTATCACGAGACCAGACCTCTCTTATGCAGTAAACCAGGTATGTCAGTTCATGCATTCTCCAAAGAATACTCACTGGATGGCAGTCAAGCGGATCCTTCGATATGTTAAAGCCACATACAATCATGGTCTTATGTATAAACCTGGTACTGCACACCTTACAACGTATTCTGATGCTGATTACGCTGGGAATCCTGATACACGGCATTCCACAGGTGGTTTTTGCATTTACTTAGGGTCCAATCTCGTGTCTTGGAGTTATAAAAAGCAGAAAACTGTCAGTAGGTCGAGTTCAGAAGCTGAATATAGGCAGCTTGCTTATACTGCTGCAGAATTATCATGGTTCCGGTCTTTATTTCGTGACCTCCACTTGCATCTTGATCGACCAACAATCTGGTGTGACAATGTTTCCTCCATTGCCCTCGCTTCAAATCCAGTTTTTCACTCCCGTACAAAGCACTTGGAGGTGGATTATCATTATGTTTGTGAGAAAGTGGTTCGTCAAGAGTTTGTGAATTTCATATGTTCTCAAGACCAGATTGCTGATCTTTTTACAAAAGGATTGTCCTCTTCACGGTTCAAGCATCTTGTTTCCAAGCTTCCAGTTGTTTCTCCTCCTGTCAGCTTGCGGGGGCTGTTAGACCAAGTCCGAGTCTGGTGGTGGTTTCCTCAAATTCAGGAGGTTGTGATCAACCTAAACTCTTATCCAAGAAGAGTTAGATTAGTTCAAACTTCTTTTCGAATGTTAGTTGTTTTCCGTAATACGTTTTGTAGCTTCTATTGTAATTTTGAATTTGAAACGGCCTTGTAAATAGGGATTTCAATCCCTGATGTAATACGGAAAACAACTAACATTCGAAAAGAAGTTTGAACTAATCTAACCTAAACTCTTATCCACGTTCAGATTACATCAGGGATTGAAATCCCTATTTACAAGGCTGTTTCAATTCAAAATTACAACAGAAGCTACAATACGTATTACGGAAAACAACTAACATTTGAAAAGAAGTTTGAACTAATCTAACTCTTCTTGGATAAGAGTTTAGGTTGATCACAACCTCCTGAATTTGAGGAAACCACCACCAGACTCGGACTTGGTCTAAACACTGATGAGTAGCGTCCTCTTTCTCGGCCAAAGCGTTTCGTAGAAGGAGGTGATCAGTGTTGTTTTGGTTGCCGTATTGGTCCGCGCGGCGGAGAGGGGCGTGAATGAAGGCGGATGTTTGGATTAGAGACCTCCATGACTGGCACACTGCACTGCATTTGCCTAAAGATTTGATGGGCAACCTCAGAAGAATTTCCCCTAGCTGGCTTCAGGGAAGTAATAGTTTGACATAGCTTGCCTTGTCTGATAATTTTGCTCTCCAGTTCTCAGATTTCAATGGAGAATTTGGGGATTGCTTGTCTGCTAGTTTTATTCTGATCTATTATCTTTTTGGTCAAGAAAACCAAGTCAATCTTTAGACAAAGTCTCTCGTTGACTTTCTAGAAGTGCAATGCTACCTGTCTAGATGCCCCCAAAAGTGTCCCACCACAAATTTTTAGACGGAAGTTAGGCTAGTTGGCTAGAGAGTGTACACGGTCCTTTGCACCCTTTCAATCCCTCTCCCGTAAGTTATAACTTAGAATATCACTTTGTCAAAAATTATGCTATGTTCAGCATACATGGTTTATAACAGCAAGACTTGGAGGTATTAGCCATCGATAGATAAGCAGATTGAATCTTGTAAAACGAAGAAAGATAGCAATTAGATAAATGAGTAACAATATATTGATTGTGAGCTTGGGATGAAGGTATTGTGCATGGATATATAGATTATTGATTGAACATCCCCCCATTTTGTGAAAACATGAAGAACCACATCTTACAAAGAAAGAGTCGCATGCTCGAAAATCAAGGATACACGCGAAAGAGGTCGCTCTTGCTTACGTACAGATCTGGAAATCTAGTAGATGTCCTAAAATTTACATTTAAGCTTGACAAAGAACTACAAGCGATTAACAAGTCTCACGTGATGTATTGGCATGGAGACAGAGATGAGGTTCACTGCCCAGACCACCTTTAACTGCGTCGACATCATTTAGACAGCACTGGATAGGCCAATAGCTGATCCATCAACCTTGCATCATAAGATTACACCGTAAGTCGGTACTTCGACACATACGGTTAGCGAAATAGATATGGAGAAATGCAGGAAGTGTAGCAGAAACATACCATTGGAAAATGAACTCTATTCAACAAGAATTGGCCTGGCAGAAGGGATTGGTCTAGCAGAATGGCTTGACAATGTATTAGCATCTGATAGAAAAGAGAAATCAGTACTTATTGCAATAAGATCACTGCTACGGAAGAGAAACGCAAAACTCAAAGTGTAATTACATGCCTTTTAATTCCACCCGCAACCAATCTTGTGTGCATACCAAAGCCTCTCGAATGTCAGGATTCAGTGAGCTTCGACATTCATCAAGCACTCTACCACCAATGTTGAATGCTGATTCTGGTGCAACAGTTGACATAGGAGTCCCCAGAACGTCACGTGCCATCATGGACAAAATAGGGTACCTAGGCGTGTGCACCTTCCACCAATTTAATATGTTAAAATCACAATTGCGCGGAAAGACTGGTTCCTCTAGATACTTGTCCAAGTCTGATATCATGTTTTGGCTCTGAGAGGTCTCGTAGAGAAATTTGTCAAATCCCTTCAATCGATCCCTACTATCAGTGCTGGTACTCGGTAAGCTGCTGCCAGGCAAAGCTGAACCTTGATCAACCATTGTTGAGCAGATTGAATATGCATCAAAAAGTTCCTTGAGGCCATCGGAAACTTCCTTAATCCTATCCAGAGCTGTACTACCGTATATTTGAGAGTAGTAATACTCCACCAACTTCATTTTGAATCGGGGATCCAAGATTGCTGCTACTGCCAAAGCCAAACTGCACTTGCTCCAGTACTTATCAAACTTAGCTTTCATCTTTAGTGCCATAGAACTAAGAAATTCGTCTGGGCTCTTGCACCATTCAATTAATTGGATGTGAACATCACAAATCTCAGGAAAATATATACTTGCAGTTGGACATTTGTTGCTGGAAAAGACATTAACGATTTCAACAAGAAGTTTCAAATAAACTGTAACAGACCTCATCCGTTCCCATTCTGTATCAGTTAAAGCTGATGTATACGAAGGGTCATGCTCTTGCAGGAGAGAAAATGCACCCCTGTATTCTAAGGCTGTTTCAAGCATATGATACATTGAGTTCCATCGAGCTGGGAAATCAAGAATTAATCTCCTCTGACTATTAATTCCTACTTGCTGAACAATTTCATTGAACTTCCCTTGTGTCAATTGTGAACTTCTTACGTGCTTGAAACTTCCTCGAATATTTCTTATCACCTCTCTCATTGCTTCCAAAACATCCTGCACAATTGAATTTAGAAGATGTGCTGCTGAGCGAATATCAAATAACTGACCATGGACCAAGAGAGGCCTGTTTTGGGAGATCCGGTCTTTGATTCTTACAACAATGTCATCATCGACGGAACAATCATCAAATGTCAAGGCAAATAACTTACTGTCAATGTCCCAGTCCATCAGGCACTTGATAACTACTTCTGAAAGCAAGTCCTCCGTATGAGTAGAATCAAGTGTGACAAAATTCAGAATTTTCTTTTGTAATTTCCAGTCCTCGTCAATATAGTGTGCCGTCAAACACAGGTACTCAACGTTTTCTGGAGAAGACCACATTTCAACAGAAAGGTTAATTCTGCCGTGCAAACTATTAATCATCTCATACACTTGACGTTTTTCCTTCCTATAAATTTCCATGCAGAACTGTTCAACATCATTATTTGGCACAACCTCAAATGATGGTTGAAGGTTCTTCACAAAAACTTTGAATCCAACATCATCAACCATGGTGAACGGGTAACCATGCAATATAATCATACGAGCAAGATCATAACGACTACGGTCATGATCAAACTTTCCGCTTGCAATGGTAACTAGTTCATCCTTTTTCGGATCCTGATCAAACTTTATAAGTGCTGGCTGAATATAATCATCTTTTCTCTGTGCTTCATCACCATTAATACTTGCTATGGCAAGGATATTATCTTTTTTCCTTCTCTTCGCTGAAAGTAGTTGTGATACATCAAAGTTCGATCGTTTCAGACATCGCATTAAATGGTTTCTCAGATGGGTGGTCCCACTATTACTTGATCCACTGAGCTTCTTGTTACAATGTACACAAACAGCATAACATATTTCAGCCTTTCTAACCCTTTCAAAATGATTCCAGACAATAGATGTCAACCTCTTTGGTTTCTTAGCAGACTCGACTTGTATTTCCATCACATAGGCATGAAATTCGATCAAACGCTGCACAACATATGAGATAAAACGACTAAATCAGATAGAACTACAAGATGAATTTGCGGAACCTCAAACATCAATAAAAAAAAAGTTGACAGTCACAAAAGAATTAAAATTACTCCAAACACTAGCAATAAATAAGTCCTATAATTTACGGTGCACAACACCAATAAAAGGTGAATGCAAATACGTGTGTGTGCATGTACATGCATAATTACAGACATAAATGAAAGATCTCATAATAATTGATACTTTACAACACAACTGAATTGAGAAACACACAGAATAACAACCACACTGATAAAATGTTTGGTGCAAGTAAATTCCTTGGGACACATCCTTTATAAGAATTCAAATACTCTCAGATCAAAACCTTGCAATACTTAAATCATACAGCGAACACTGAATTATAAACAAACTATAATGCACAGACAAACCAGCATAAATGCACGGAATCAATACAAGAAGAAATCACCATGTTATCACTAAGTATAGTCACAGAGAAATTTATCAGTCACAAGATACACATAACAAGATTCAAGAGGTATGTGAACATTCATTTCACTAACTGGATACTGAAACACGAACAAATTTTTTTCTTCTTCAGTGCACAAGACAAACTGAATCGATTTTGGCCCATAGAGATTTCCCAAGGCAAACCTGAAAGCAAATCTAGAACACAACCCACAAAATGACCAAAAATACAACCTTGAAACCAGCGAATAATGCAGCTAAAGTATGTTATGTCAACCAAACCCATGAAACCTCGCAACTTGAAGATCAATTCCAATATAAAACACGACTCAAAATGAATTTAGCGAGTCTACGATTATAAGTTAATAGCTGGAAGATTCAATGTTCAAGCTCTCACTAAACCCGTTACACATATCAAGAGGGCTACAGGTCACTAAGTCTTATCGCATACAGAGAAAACAGCAAACTATAGAACTTGTGACATCATACCAGATCAACACAAAACTGTCCAAATGCAAATATGAATCTCGAACTCAAGAAAAATGTGCACGAAGCCACAGAGACAACCCGAAAAAAAAACGAAGAACATGTCATGACAAGTCACCAGGGGAACTTCAAAGGTGAAATTTTTCAACCCAATAAAAATATATCAATTAGGACTAGAAGTCAACATTTGGAGTCATTTGTTAAGGTACCATTGCATTGACTTATATCACAATTTAAAGTGATAAATTCAGAGTGCTCCTCTTGATCATACAAAAGCATGAGATTATCTACAACCACATAACTTGAATTTCAACACCAGCTAAAAACTAACTAATTCAAAAATCAAAACTTTCAAATAAATAACAACAAAAATACAAAATTCAATTTATAAAGATTCAACCTTTCATCTTCAAATCCCTAAACAACAGAACAATCATATGCATTTAAGATCTGGGTCAGACCAAAATCCACCAAATAAACTCCAATAAACATTACAAAATTCCAATTAAAATCTGAGCCTAACAGAGTGAGAGGAAAGAAGAACAAAATTACACAAAAATTCGAAATGGATCTTACCGCAATTGTTGAAATGACCTTATATCGTAAAAAATCTCAGGGAATCCGATCGGTGGTCCGGCGAGTCGGGGTTGGATCGTGGGTGACCCTGAAGAGAGAGAGGGAGCGAGTCTGAACCCGATGTGGGTGTGAGAGAAAATGGTTTGGATCCGATAAGTATACCCACTCACTTTACCCGTATTGGGTTGTGGGTCAACGGATTAGATATTAATTTGGCGATCCGATAGAAATTGAAGCAAAGCTACGGATCCTAGTGATTTGACATGACCCAAATTTTGGTCCGTTTTGTTTTAGGTTTAGGCAGGGTTAGGTATTAAGCCATCTCCAAGGGAGGGCTGGTCAGAGAACTCGTTTTAACTCTCTGGTCTTTTGACACGTCCCGACCCCGATATTTCCTGAATACCCGGATAGGCACGTACTAGCCAACACTCGAGGATGACGAAAGTCATTATTGACTACAAGAGTAATAATTAGGAGGAAATATTCATGAATAATCATTAGAATCTAAAGGTAATAAACAAAGTTTAAATAAATGTCTAGAATGCACAGAATACGTTCAAATTTAAGATCACAAAGGGAAAGATCATTACAAGATATCACACAAATGAGTGATAGACGATTACTGGTAGGGGAATGTCTCGTACGTCGTGTCGTAGTCCTCGTTTCTAAGACCTGAATGGGGGCGCAAAATAAAGGTGAGTGGACCAAGTTCATATATACAATAATAATAAAACAGTTATCAAGATACTAACCCCCATAGTTTATATAAAGAAAACTACTAGCATAATAAGTGATAGGTTTATTGAAATCCTAGCATGCCAAAAACATCTCAAAAGACATATCGCGGAAACCAAAACATCAATCATCTCACAGATCATCTCGTAATTGCGATGTGCTGCCAGTAAGATCACTAAATAAATATAACTCCCGGCCCTATGCCAACACCGTGGTTTCTGCGCCCGTAGCCAGAGATTACCAACTCTCGGCCCAATGCCTACTCCGTGTCCCTCAGTCCGTAGCTAGGGATTATTTCTCCCGGCCTATCTGCCAACACCAGATCCTCGCCCCAGGCGGCATAGTGTCCATTAGGTACGCACAAATAGTTACGTCTCTCATAAATAATCATTTCATAGTATAAAATCATTCATCGTCTATACTATAAATAGGGATTTCTAAAACATGTTCTAGCATCCTATAGTCATCTATCAGATAGTCTACCAGTTCATAGTTTTTATATAAAATACGATATATTAAAATATATCTCAATATAGGCCAACAATTAATTCCTCACAAAAAACGAGACGATAAACAACATATTTCATAAACATGTGTAGACATCGAAATTTCGGTAAATAAATGTTGACCAATAAATCAAAGTGTCAACGCTCATGTATTACATAAATTTTACACGTAGCGTGTGACTCAACGAAAATTGAAATGAGTTGGAAAAGTCATCAAATAGGACACGTGTCAACACCTGGCAGAAACGACTTATTTTATCTGGAATATTATATTCGAAATTAGACCTTGGAAAATTCTATAAATACAAGCCTATTTCATTCATTGAAGGGGACCAATTCATATGACACCTTGAAGCTCTGAAGCTCTGAAACTCCGAAGCTCTCAAGCATCCAGGTTCCCGAAGAATCAAGAAAGCCTTCTTCGTTCTTCGTTCATCGTTCTTCCAAGATCAAGCCCCGACGGCCCTTGGATCAACCATCCACCAATTCAAGATCAAGCCCCGACGGCCCTTGAAGAAAGCACCATCGTTCTTCATCCGTTCATCCAAGATCAAGCCCCAACGGCCCTTTGGATCAACAACGTCGACAAATCCACACATCCAACCGTTCTTCAAGATCAAGCCCCAACGGCCCTTTGGATCAACAACGTCGACAAATCCACACATCCAACCGTTCTTCAAGATCAAGCCCAAAAACCTTTGAAGATCCGTTCATCACTGTTCTTCAAGATCAAGCCCAAAAGCCCTTGGAGATCCGTTCGTCACTGTTCTTTAAAGATCAAGCCCAAAAGCCCCTTTGAAGATCCGCTCAAATCCACCTTCAAGATCAAGTCCACGGCCCTTGAAGAACGTTCATCCTTAGATCAAGCCCAACGGCCCTTTGGATCAATCACACATCCACAAATACACACCTTACGGAGATCGAATCAGAGGATCAAAATAGAGAGAGATTGTAACCCAAAATCATCAAATACTTAATATTTGTTTGTGCGCGTTGTTCTTGTCTCTTTCGTTTCAGGAATTTTTCGTGTTTACAAATTGGCACGCCCAGTGGGACATCTCTACCTCTCATCTCTTCCTCCGTTCAAGGAATATAAGCACACTTCCAAAATCAATGACGTCAAGGAAGGCTCAAGCTGTTCCCATAACCGGCGCAAAGAACAAAGGCGCCCTCGTCGCAAGTGGTGTCACGTTGGGTGTCACAACTCGAAGCAAAGCAAAAGCTACTTCTGCCACCTCTTTCACCTCTGCATCAACTCTGCCAGGGGAACGAGAGTACCCTAGGCATGAGCGTGTGATCACTTTAGCCTCACTAAGGGCACCAAGGGGGGAAAGACCGAGGGAATACTCCGAATCCATGCTCTCCGATGACGATTCAAGCGGCAGTTCAGCCATGCAAGTCATGACCGCTGGAGCAACTTCAGTCGAGGAACAACTTGCTCAAATGAATGAAGCAATCGCAAGACTAACTCGAACTGTGGAAGAAAAATACTTGCAAATCGCGGCATTAGTCAACCGACTGGAGGCGCAGGACAGTGAGAAACCCGACCCAGAGGATGATCCGCTAAAGGAAGGAGCTGGCGGAGACGAGGAACCCCCGGTAAAGAAAATCGATGGGAAGCCGAAACCAGACCAAGCAGCGGCACTCATGGGATCCCTTTCTATCCAGCAGCTGCAAGAGATGATCACCAACACCATCAAGGCACAGTACGAAGGGAGCTCATATACATCCGGGTTGTATTCAAAGCCGTATTCAAAGAAGATCGACGCCTTAAGGATGCCGAGGGGTTATCAACCACCAAAGTTCATGCAATTTGATGGAAAGGGAAACCCGAAACAGCACGTCGCCCACTTCGTTGAAACTTGCAACAACGCAGGAACCGAAGGGGACTACCTCGCCAAGCAGTTTGTGCGCTCGCTGAAAGGAAACGCCTTTGAGTGGTACACGGATCTGGAGCCTGAGTCCATCAACAGTTGGGAGCAACTGGAGCGGGAATTCCTCAATCGCTTCTACAGCACCCGCCGCACTGTGAGCATGCTAGAGCTAACAAGCACAAAGCAGTGGAAGGACGAGCCAGTCATGGACTACATCAACCGATGGCGTAATCTAAGCCTCGACTGTAAGGACAGACTCTCCGAGATTTCTTCAATCGAGATGTGCATCCAGGGCATGCAATGGGGTTTACAATACATCCTTCAAGGTATTAAACCACAAACTTTTGAAGAATTAGCCACCCGTGCCCACGACATGGAGTTGAGCCTCGCCCACCATGGAAAGAAGGAGCCAATCACCGATTTCAAAAGGATAAGGTGTTCACTTCAAGAGCAGACAATCATGGGAAAAAAGCCCGCCAAGGAAGCTTTTACCACCAATACCACCCCTATCAAGACCTCGTCCGCGCCCGCCCGTCAAAATCTCTTTCAATAAAGCAAGGGAGATAAAAAAAGGTGAGCCTTCCCACACCCAAGATAGGTACAAAAAAACACCTTGAGGGAATTGGAGGAGCAGAAGGTATACCCTTTTCCGGACTCCGACATGGACGCAATGCTGGACGACCTACTGGAGAAGAAGGTGATTGAGTTACCCGAATGCAAACGCCCTGAAGAAATGAATCGCATCAATGATCCCAAGTACTGCAAGTACCATCGTATCGTGGGTCATCATGTGGGCAAGTGTTTCATCCTAAAAGAACTCATCATGAAGTTGGCACAACAAGGACGGATTGAGCTCGACCTAGAAGACACAGCTGCGACGCACACCACTACGGTCGTGTTCGGATCCTTTGATCCCGTGTTTCTTCAAGAAATGCCTGACCATGCTCGGCAATACTCAAACCACACTGCACATTCTGCACCACCATCACTGGGGGCAAGCAACCAGGACGCACCTACTGACGATGACAAAGGATGGACATTGGTGACCTATAAGAGGACGAGGAAACCAAAACCGCAAGCTATAAAGCAAAAGGGCGAACAAGGGAGAAAGCACCGCCGTCGCGGCAATAGGAAGCCTAAGAGAAACATAAGAGCTGCTAAGCCAATATATGCTGGGGAACTTGCGGAGCAAAAGCCACGCATTCCCGTCTCATTGCACGAGTACTTCCCGGAGGACTTTTTCCAACATTGCACTATCACCGCATGTCACGTGGTCGAAGTAAAAATGGAAGAACCCTCAAAGGGCAAAATTGTCGCCGCTGAGGGAGAAAATACTCCGACACCTGAAGAAGGTCTGCCAATACACTTTAGCATCGAGGAAGCGCTACAATTGCCAAAGAAGATACGAAGGGCATTGGCAACGGTTTTAGTGAGTCCAAACGACCACGAAGTGCAAGAAAGCAAGAACGAAGGCTTGAGGCCTCGGCCACACGAGTGTGCCACAAGCTGTGCCACAGAGGACACAATCCACTTCGCCGACGAAGACTTGTTGCTAGGATCCAAGCCTCACAACCGACCTCTCTTCGTCTCTGGGTACGTAAGGGAGCATAAAGTCAGCCGCATGCTTGTGGACGGCGGGTCAGCCATAAATATCATGCCAAAGTCAACAATGACCGCAATCGGCATCAAGGTGGATGAACTATCCCTGAGCCGTCTACTAATCCAAGGTTTTAACCAGGGAGGACAAAGAGCGATGGGCATGATCCGAGTGGAGATGACCATTGGTGAACTCAAGTCAAGCGTGATGTTCCACGTGATTGATGCGAGAACTTCCTACGGTCTGCTCTTAGGAAGGCCTTGGATCCATGCGAACGGAGTGGTACCGTCCACCCTTCACCAATGTTTAAAATTTTACCAAGAACGAGTGAAGGTGATCTATGGCGACACCAAGCCATTCACCGAAGCTGAATCACATTTCGCAGACGCCAAGTTCTACATGAATGAAGACACGGTGCCCGAAACTCTTCCAAAAGAGATTAAATCCATGAGCAAAGCAGCGCCTAAAAAACAGGAGTGGCAAGCTATGCCCAAGAAGCAAGAAGAAGAAGCTATGCCAT